TTCTGGGTCTTTCATGTGGGTGCAGGAGCTCAAGCGCTTGGGCCATCTTCTGCTTTCCCAGGCCAGTCGCAGGGAGCTGGATCAGAAGTGGAACAGCCATGTCTCCAACCAGCACCCATATGGGGATGCCAGCACCATCGGGAACAGCTTTACCCACTATGCTATAGCACCGGCCCCAAAAGTATAAAATTTTTTTTAGTTGGTTACAAATTGTATATGTAGCTGGAATTTTAAACCATAGGACAATAAAAGAACAAAAACTGCTAGGGTCATTCGATGATTTTTCCCTAGAAATTTTATATAATGTAAAACATTTTTTAAAAAATTGACTTAGGGAGAGAGAGCTTCCATCCACTGGTTCAGTTCCCAAGTGGCCACAATGCCCAGGGCTGGACCAGGCAACAGCCAGGAGCTTCATCTAGGTCTCCCATGTGGGTGGCAGAGGCCCAAACACTTGGGCCATCTGCTGCTTTTCCCGGGCCATCAGCAAGGAGCTGCATTGGAAGCAAAGCAGCCGGGACACAAACCAGTGCCCTTATGGGATGCCAGTGTTCTAGGCAGAGGTTTTACCTGCTATGCCAGGAAGCCAGCCCCTTGTGTAAAAAACTTCAATGGTTCTTGTAAGAATGGGGATTATTATAATGAAAAAGGTCCTGGAGAGGAAGTCAGGAAGCCAGAGTTTTCATCTTTGTTTCAGTTTACCCATTCATAGTGTGAGGATAATACCAAGTTTACAAAGCTCTCAGAAGGATCAAATAAGGAAAGATTTAAAAGTGCGGTGAAACGTTGCAAGCAGCAGAAGAAAGTATTAATACAGGAAGTGCGGGAGAATCACTTGTTGGCCGGGTAAACAACTTTTTGGATGGTACTGATGCTTTTCTTCATCCAAGGCTGGGCAGTAGTAGTTCCTTCATTTCCAGTCAGCTCACCTGTGCTGGGGAAAAACTAGCCTGAGATTGTGATTTGGGGAGTATTGGGAGAAGCTGAAGTAAGAGCAGGAAGACATTGAAAACAGAGTTTAATGACAACAAATGTTAGATAATGTGTTGACTTCCGCCAGCAACTACAAGATAACCAGTTTTGTACATTTGATGACTTAGAACATTCGGAGAGCAGCAGGCGCTTTACTGGAGAGGCTGAATTAAATAAACCTAATTCAAAATTCAACATTTATAACTGCATAAACTTATGTATATCAAGTCAGTTCTTAGCCTTGAGTTTATAATTTTTAAAACTTACATAAGAAGGTATCTACAAGTCAACCTTATTGAGTAACCAGCAGGATAGACAATAAACAATAGTGACACAATCGTTTGTGTTATTAGTAGTGAATAATTTAGAATTTTCATTTCTCCAGATAATCTTGTAAAGCCAAGATAAGAATACAGGTAGACTGTCGGCATTGTTTTTTGTTTGTTTGTTTGTTTGTTTGTTTGTTTTTTTAAGATTTATTTATGTATTTGAAAGGGATAGTTTCAGAGAGGTCTTCCATCTGCTGGGTCACTCCCCAAATAGCTGCAACAGCCAGAGCTGTGCCAATCCGCAGCCAGGAGCTTCTTCCAGGTTTCAAGCACTTAGGCCATCTTCTACTGCTTTCCCAGGCCATAGCAGGGAGCTAGATAGGAAATGGAGCAGCTGGGACTTGAATCGGTGTCCATATGGGATGCTGGACTGCAGGCGGTAGATTTACCTGCTGTGCCATAGCGCTGGCCCACTAATTTGTTCTTTTCTTTTTCTTTTTCTTTTTCTTTTTCTTTTTCTTTTTCTTTTTCTTTTTCTTTCTTTCTTTGTTGTTGTTGTTGTTCTTGACTGAGTATTAGAATAACTGGAGAGCTTAGAAAATAGGCCATAGGCCACGCTGGCATGATTTTCTTGGTCTGTGATAGATCTTTAATATTTTGTTTTAGAAAGTCCCCTGAGGGGCTGGCGCTGTGGTGCAGTAGGTTAATTCTTCGCCTGCAGCGCCAGCATCCCATATGGGTGCTGGTTCAAGTCCTGGCTGCTCCTCTTCCTATCCCGCTCTCTGCTAATGCCTGGGAAAGCAGTAGAGGATGGCCCAAGTCCTTGGACCCCTGCACCCGCATGGGAGACCCGGAAGAAGCTCCTGGCTCCTGGCTTCAGATTGGCGTAGCTCCGGCCGTTGCGGCCATTTGGGGAGTGAACCAGCAGAAGGAAGACCTTTCTTTCTGTCTCTCCCTCTCACTGTCTGTAACTCTACCTCTCAAATAAATAAATAAAGTCTTAAAAAAAAATGTCCCCCGAGGTAATTCTAATATGCCAGTGAGCTTTAAAAGATTATAGCGAGTGAGTTATTGGTCTGGAAATGGCCAATTAGCCTGCTTGACTAGAGCAGGGGGCTGTGGGTTTGAGATTAATAAAGCGTCTGAATCAACAATAGGAAGTCATAGTTTGAATCCAAAGGCAGGACGCAGAAGGAGATAAGGATTCGGGAATGGTTGTCCAACAAGTTCTGGCTGATTTCAGTAGTTAGGCGGTGTAGAAGCCCTGGGAAAAGCAGGATTCCCTTCAGCGGTGTCTGCTGTGGCCCTTCTCACCTCCGTCACGGTGAGACCAGCAGCTCCTGGGAAGAGCTGGGCTTGCTAGCGAACTTTAGTAACATCATCACCAGTTTGAATTTAACAGCGCATGGCTTTAACATTTTAATTTTGATTTTTGTTGCATTTAGAAAAACCAGTATGTTTCTACATGATCACTAGACTTTATTTTGAATGGATTTTGACCATTTTTAGTAAACAAATCTGTGTTTACAAATTGATGGTTGGGGCCAGTAGTGGTTAAAGCTGCAGCCTGCAGTGCCAGCATCCCATATGGGCACCAGTTCAAGTCCTGGCTGCCCCACTTCTGATCCAGCTCTCTGCTATGGCCTGGGAAAGCAGTAGAAGATGGCCCAATTCTTGGGGACCTGCACCGGCATGGGCATGGGACACACAGAAGAAGCTCCTGGCTCTTGGCTCCTGGCTCCTGGCTTCGGATCGGCGCAGCTCTGGCCGTTGTGGCCAATTGGGGAGCCATTCACTGTAAAGGAGAAACATGAAGCTGATGCACCGTGGCAGTGTCTAATTATGTGGGACACTCATTAAAGCCTCAGGAAGGGAAGTGCTTTCCAGTGCTTAATCCTGGAAAGATAACTTAAATGCTTGGAACAACCCATTCCACCCTTTTCCACCTCTAGGAAAGAGGAAGACGGTTGACAATCTGTAGGTTCTGAAGTGTGGCTTGCCAGTAGGAATGAATTTATCTAAAGCATTTCAGATTTACCTGGCTCCTGCAGTAATAGTGGACATGTCTGTAACTGGGGAGGGAAGGAAGGCACTGACTGGTGGGACATCACCTCCACTAGCTCCTGAGCACCAAGGCTGTGAAACACTCCTTTCTGTGTACTTGATAGTGGTCCTTCTGCGTGGGGTGCCTTAGCACGGTCTCCCTCGGAACTCCAAGGTCTGCCTCTCTGCAGGGTGATGAGTCCTATCAAGGTAGGGACTGGTCATTCGAAAGACAAAGTAGACATTATTTTGAAGATGATTACCTTTGGTGGTGGCGGGGTTCCTATCTTTGCTGAATGCCTACTGTGTGCCAGGCACTATTGTCTCATTTAGCTTTTACAACATAGAAGTATGGGGGGGGGAGTAGGGGCACAGCGGGCTAAGCCGCTCTGGTAACAACACATCCTGTATCCAGTGTTGGTTGGATTTCTAGCACCTCTGCTTCTGCTCCAGCTTCCTGCTCATGCACGTTGGGAGGCAGCTCAAATGTTTGGGCCCCTGCCGTCCATGTGGGAGACCGGGATGGAGTTCCAGGCTCCCAGATGTTGTGGCATTTGGAGAGCGAATCAACAGATGGGAGATCTTTTTTTCTTTCTTTCTTTCTTTTTTTTTTTTTTTTTAAAGATTTATTTATTTGGCCGGCGCTGCGCTCAATAGGCTAATCCTCCACCTGCGGCGCCGGCACCCTGGGTTCTAATCCCGGTTGGGGCGCCGCATTCTGTCCCGGTTGCTTCTCTTCCAGTCCAGCTCTCTGCTGTGGCCTGGGAAGGCAGTGGAGGATGGCCCAAGACCTTGGGCCCTGCACCGTCACGGGAGACCAGGAGAAGCACCTGGCTCCTGGCGCTGCCCGCAGCAGCCATTGGGGGGTGAACCAACGGAAAAGGAAGACCTCTCTCTCTCACTGTCCACTCTGCCGGTCCAAAAAAAAAGATTTATTTATTTATAGGCAGAGTTTACAGAGAGAGAGGTCTTCCATCTGCTGGTTCACTCCCCAAATGGCTGCAGTGGCCGAAGCTGGGCTGATCTGAAGCTAGGAGCCAGGAGTTTCCTCCAGGTCTCCCATGTGGGCGCAGGGGTCTAAGCATTCAGGCCATCTTCCCGTGCACATTAGCAGAGAGCTGGATAGGAAGTGGAGCAGCCAGGACCCTTAATTGGCATCCTTATGGGTTGCTGGTGAATGCAACCTCAAAGTCCACCTTCTGCCCAAACAGTACCTGGCACACAGAATCATTGTAAATACCTGCGGAATGAGTGAATTCCCTCGTCCTACCTTTTCTCTCAGTCTACCCTGACTTCTCCCTGGTCCTCCTCTGGCTGCCTGGTTTCAAAGTGAAATTGACCTGCATTTAAAGGTCTTTGAAGTGACCATTGTGAAAATGTTCTGACACACTGAGCACGGATCGTTTTAGCACCCGATCACCCGTACTAGTGCAAAGGCCCTGGGACTGGCCCAGGAAAATCGGGATTGGGACGAGAGGGCGCGGGAAGGGGAAAGTACAGGTACCATTTTCTCCCGGGATGCCCAGTTCATCTGCGGAGTGAACAGAAAGCCAGGCCGTGGTACGGGACTTCGAGGCAGGCCATCCCACGCTGGGGTCCCGGACGTTTTGGGGGGCTGCCGTGACCCCAGCCCGGGGTGGCCCCGACCGGCCCCTCAGGCAGGCAGCAGCTCCGAGGCCATTGGCTGGCGCGCGGGCTGCGGAGGGCGGGGAGCGCCGCCGAAGGGGACTGTTTGCTCCTACGGGCTGTAGATGGAGCTGTCCGGCCCCGGCGAGGGGGAAGGCGCCTGCAAAACGTTCTTCTTCTCCCTGGCCGGCCCGAGCGGGGAGCAGCACTCCCAGGATGCAGTTTGTGTCAACACGGCCGCAGCCTCAGCAGCTGGGCATCCAGGGCCTGGGGCTGGACAGCGGGAGCTGGAGCTGGGCCCAGGCTCTGCCCCCGGAGGAGGTCTGTCACCAGGAGCCGGCGCTGCGCGGGGAAATGGCCGAGGGAATGCCGCCCATGCAGGTGGGTGCAGCCCCCGCCGGCGCCATGGCCGCGCCAAGGCCGTGGGGGCGGGGCGCGGGCCGGGCCGGCCTCACGGAGCCTCGCGGCGCCCGCGTCAGGCCCGCGCCGAGACCGCGCCGAGACCGGGCCGCGGCGCGCGGGCGGACGGGCGGGCCCGACGCAGGCCCGGAGCGGCAGGCCCGCGCCGGGCCGCCCTGCAGCGATCCGCGCCGAGGGCCCGCGGGCCGCTGCTGCTGGGCCGGGGCCTGGCCGGGGCCTCCTGGGAGCCGGCGGAGCCGTGACCCCTTCCCCCTCGCCGAGGCCCGGCGGCGGCTGCCCTGCGCGCCCTGGCAGCGGAGGGTTCGCCCAGCCCTCCTGGCCGGCCGCAGGGACGAAGAGCTCGTCCATGTTTACGCGGCGGCCAGCGGGGCGAGATGTTGAGACTGACTGACCGCCAGCCTCCCCCGCGCCGGGGCTGACCCGGGAGGGGCCCGGGGAGATGACTTTGTCCCCTTGGGTTGGCAAACTTGGCTGGACGTGGGAATCCCGGGAGCAGCTCTGCCCACGCCGCGCGTCCCAGGGCGGCTGGCTCCGAGGCAGCGCGAGAGGGGCCTCCCTCCACCAGCCGTCCCAGGGTGCGGGCAACCGGCTTGAGGACCAGGGCTTCGGCAGGGGGCACACAGCGAGGTGGGCGCCGAAGGGTCCGGACAGACTCCCATATGGAAGTCTGAGCTGGCCCCGGACTGCACTCAGCCGGGTTCCAACAAGTTAGCCAGGAGTTGCTGGGTTGTTTGGTCATTCTCCAGCTTTAGCCGGGGAGCCTCCCTAAACTCCCGCGCTGGGCCTGTCCCTGCCTGTGGGCCAGGCCCTCCGGGAAGCCCACGGGATTGGAAATACCACCACCTCTTAGTCAGCGGGGGCTGGCGTGCCCAGGGCCCTGCCCCTCTCCCCCACGAGGTGGAGGGGTTCTCAGGACAGCAGGCTGTTCCGACGGTGTGGACCGGGGAGCGGAGCTGGCCTGTGTGTCCTTGGCCTGCTCAGCTCAGCTCGCGGCAGCAGGTCTCCACTTTTCCTCATTCCCAGGGCCTCTTCAGCAGCGACAGGAGGACAGAAAATGACACCTCCCTTTCTCACATGGCAAAGAGTTGGTTGTCCTCCGGCAAGCTCTATCCACTGGCACAATATGGCACCTGTTCCCAGATTCCCCCTGAACAGTGACTGAGTCTTGGAACTAAGACTCAGCTCCCAACCCGCACCTGCCAGCCTCACCCTTCCTGGGGAGGCTCCCCCTCCCCAGGAAGCAGGGAAGGAGCCCGGAGCTTCTCTTTTTCCTCTTCGCCCTCCTCTAATGAGTGACATTTTTGGTAGACCTATTTTCATCCTAGAAAATATTTACCAAAAAATCGGCTGTGTATTGGGGGGAAAAGAAGCTCTTGTCTAATCAGAGAGCTTGGGCTGTGGTCTGTCTCTTGACGGTGGCCTGGCAGGCATGGTGGCAGTGGCACCTGCCCGAAGCATGTTTTTTTGTGACCCACAGCACTGGGAGCTGCCCCAGTTGGCAGCATAGGGAGGCACTGTGGAATGACCAGCTGCTTCTGCGTGCCTCGATTTCGTCATCCCTAAAGCAGAGATAATCAGTCTTGCCCTAACCTGCTGAGAGATTGCTGGGAAGATTAGCGTCAGATAGCTTACATGAAACTTCTTACCTTGAAACAACAACAGAAATACATGAGGCAAACATGAAGTTTGTCCGAAAGTCTGGCCTGGAAAGAGAGCAGCTGGTCTATTCAGAGGAAGTGGCCTGAGATATTTTAGGCAAAGATTCGTGGCCTTGACTTGCTAAGGGTCAAGGTAGATGAACCAGTGACCGCCCTGACTCCCAGAGGCAGGGAATGGGAGAGTGTTTAGTTGAGCGGGTGGGTGGCTGGCCTAGCAATTGCTGAGGGTGCCCAAGAGCCCCGTAGTCTGAGGGGTGGGAGTGAAGCAGAGTCAGTCTGTGGCATTGGGCTGGTTGTACCTGTTGTCAGGCCACCTTTCTCCCTCCTGTAGGATCTCACCCCAGGCTGTCACTTTCTCCCTCTGCACACAGGCTCAAGAATGGGACATGGATGCCCGGCGACCAATGCCCTTTCAGTTCCCACCCTTCCCAGACAGGGCCCCTGTCTTCCCTGACCGCATGATGCGAGAGCCCCAGTTGCCCACAGCGGAGATCTCGCTCTGGACCGTGGTGGCTGCCATTCAGGCTGTGGAGAGGAAGGTGGATGCCCAGGCCAGCCAGCTGCTGAACCTGGAGGGGCGCACCGGCACAGCGGAGAAGAAGCTGGCCGACTGCGAGAAGACGGCCGTGGAGTTCGGCAACCACATGGAGAGCAAGTGGGCCGTGCTGGGCACCCTGCTGCAGGAGTACGGGCTGCTGCAGCGGCGCCTGGAGAACATGGAGAACCTGCTTCGCAACAGGAACTTCTGGGTGCTGCGGCTGCCCCCGGGCAGCAAGGGGGAGGCCCCCAAGGTATGAGGTGGTCTGCAGGGGCAGGGCTAGAGGGGCTGTGCTGGTGAACAAAACCTTTGACTTGCTTTGCCGTTCCTTCCCCTACTGTTCTGGCTCCCTGTTGTCTGACTTTGGTGTCTTCTTCAAGTCTGTTCCACTCACATGAATGAGTGAATGTTCCCCAGAGTCTGATCTTGGAGCCTTGGCTTTTGCGATTTCTGAGTTTTCTGGTGGTCTAGAAATTCCTGCGGCTCTTCACTGCTTGGTTTTTCCACATGCAACTGAGCAGGGGCCATGTGTCATTGCTCATCTCTGCATACGCCTGCGTGCACGAGGAGGCTGGAAACCAACCCACAACCCCATTGACTGGAACTACCTTCAAGTCCTGGTCACTAGTCTCGGGCAGGAATGTCTCAAAGTCCAGAATTCACGCTCTGTTTCCCATTCCATTCACTCTCCCACTCTTCCCCCGGCTCATCTGTGGCCCTGCTTTCACTGTGGGAGTGGAGTCTCCCAAAAGAGGTTTCCAGGCGCAATCAGCTCATTTGTCGGCCTCAGTGCCCACTGCTGACTCAGCCTTCCCGTGTTCCCGTGGCAGGGCGTCTACCACTTCCTGCTGCGTGCTATGTCTGCCTCCTTGCCCTTGTCCAGGAGTTCACCCTAGCACCTCTCCCCTTTCTCATTCTCATTCATCCCCAACAGGGGGTGAACATTCTGCACCACTGCCCAGCTCTGGAACAAAACTCCTTCAACCTTGCATTTCCTGTCTATCAGTGCCTCGCTCACTACTCCTCTGATTCACGGTCCCTTAGAAGACTTGTTGATTCTTGTTATCTCCAATTCTCTCTTGTCTTGCTCACTTTCTCCCTGTTTTATTAAACGTATACAGAAGTAATAGAATAGTATAATGAACTCCATGTGCTGGTCATCAGCTTCAACAGTTGTCAACTCTTGGCCAGTCTTGTTTCCCTTATGGGCTGGTATTGTGGCACGGCAAGTTAGGCCACTGTTTGTGACATCAGCATCCCATGTCCAGGTGCTGGTTGTCGCACTTCCAATCCTACTTCCTCCGAATACCTGGGAGGGCAGTGGAAGATGGCCTAAGTACTTGGACCCCTGCCATCCATGTAGTTTGGAGTTCTGGCTCCTGGCTTTGACCTGACACAGACATGGTTGCAATTGTCATTGGGAGAGTGAACCAACAGATGAAAGATCTCTGTCTCTCCCTCTCTCTCTCTCTCTGCCTTTCAGACAAATAAATAAATAAATAAATAGAGAGCTCTTCTACCTGCTGATTCACTCTACAAATGGCCACAGCAGCCAAGGCTGGGCCAGGCTAAAGCCAGGAGCTTCCAATGGGTCTCCCACATGAGTGCAGGGGCCCAAGCACTTAAGCCATCTTCTGCTGCTTTCCCAGTTGCATTAGTAGGAAGCTGGATAGAAAGTGGAGCAGCCAGGCCTCATATCTGCCAGCATGGGCGTTGGCTTAACCATTACCACTGTGTCACAATGCTGGCCCATAAATCTTTTATTAAAATATAGTAACCTCCGTGTTACCACCATCACTACAGTAAAAGCCTCAATCTACTCAAATATACAATTGGTTTTCAAATTTTCAGCTGTTTGCATTTTTCTTCCATTTTTTCTTTTTTTTGCTTGGATCAGGTTTTAAATAAGGCCCACACACTGTGATTGGTATGTCCCTGAAGTCTTTCTGTTTTTTAACAATAAGATCTTCCTCTATCTCTTATTTTTCCTTGCAATTTATCTGCGGAGGGAATTGAGCCATCTGTCCTGTCCAGCGTCTGCTGACTGCACCCCTTGTGGTCATGCTCCTCTGTTCTCCATCCCAGTGAGTGGATGACTGGATCTCGCTCCTCTGGAGCCCTCTCTGATCAGGCTTTTGCTCCCACCCTCCATCCTGTTGTCTTGCCAAGGCCCTCCTGATGTCTACTGTTAAAGCCCACGGTCGTTTACGGTCTTCCTGTCCTGGCCCCGTCAGCGGCATTGCGTGCCCTCCTTGAGATACCTTTCCATGCGACTTCCAGGACACCTCCCTGTCCTGATTGTGACCCAGCTCATCGGCTGTTCTGTCTCCATTTTCTTTTCAGGCTTTTCTTTCTTTTTCCAACTTGTAAGTGTTCACGGCGGTCTCTGGGCTCACACTCAGCTTTGTGCTCTTTATTTACACTCACTCTCTTGTGACATCATCCAGTTTCATGGTTTGTTTATTTCAGAGGTAGGAAGACAGACAGAGCTCAGAGAGAGATACACAGACAGAGCTCTCAACTGCTCACCCACTCCCCAGACGCCACAGTCGCCGGGACTGGGCCAGGCCAGAGCTGGCGCCAGGAACACAATTGAGGTCTCCCAGCTGCCTGAGCCATCATGTGCTACCTCCCAGGGTACACATTAGCAGGACGCAGGAAGCAGGAGTGGACCCAGGACTTGAATTCAGACACTGCTATATGGGGTGTGGGCATCCCAAGCAGTGGGCCCCTAGCCTCATGGTTTTACACGCAGTCTGTATGCTGTCAACTCCCGAACATGTTCTATTTCTCTCCCTCATCCAGGCTTTCTTCCTGAATGCCAGATTCACATTCCCACTTGTCAGTTCAGGTGTCCCCATTTGGACATTTGGGTATCAGCAAGTTGTCTTAGGTTTACCAGGAACAAACTGAACTGCAGATGTCCTGCCTGCAGCACATTCTTCCCGGCGCTGTCCTGGTCTCCACTGGACAGTTCCAGACTTTCAGTTGCCCAGGACAAAGCCTAGGGATTTTGACCTCCGCCACACCCAGCCACTGCGGGCATCTGGGGAGTGAACCAGTGGGTGAGAGGTCTCTACCTTTCTCTCTCGCTCTCTCTGCTTGTCAAATAAATCGATAACCCACAGTCTGCCCGCCCCTCAGCACTCCCACTCGCCATTGCCTGTTGCAAGCTGCTGTCCTCCTTTACCTGATTTTGTCGCTGTGGCCGCCTCATGGGTCTTGTTGCCATCTTGTCCTCCCCACTCCATATAAGCTGTTCTCAATCGAGCAGCAGAGTGGTCCTTCTAAATATGACTCCTCTCCCTATGCCTTTGGCCATACCTCTCCAGTAGTTTCCCGTCTTATTCAGACATTGCCTGTTGTCCTTGCTGGCAACGTCCCCACCGTGCTCCCTTGCCCCCTTGCTTCAGCACATGGGCTTCTTGCTGTGCTCCTGTGGGCCTCACAGCTCCCACCTCAGGCTCCTCCCTGAGAAGCCCCTTCCCCAGATAGCAGCATTGCCACCCCCTTCCATGAGGGATCTGCTCACTTGGCACTTGGTCACTGTGTCCCTCCACAGACACTATGGAAAAGAACCAAGTACACCACCCCACCCCCCGCACTCTTTGTTCCCTGTTCCTGCCCTAATTTTCTCCAAAGCTCTTATGCCATGGGTATCTTAAACATTTGCTTCTTTTTCTGTCTTCCTAGTTGGCTCTCCCTGTCCAGAATGTGAATTCTCCTTGGTTCACTGCAATGTCCCTGTGCCTGTATCAGCACCTGGCTTAGGGTTGGCGCACAAGAGATCATTGCACAGCTGACGGCTCCATAGAAGGGAGCGGGTCTTACTTGTCTCTGTATCTGCTGAGGCAGCCAACCCAGTGACTTTGCCAGAGGAGTTGTTTGACATGGTTTATTGAAGCTGCACAGAACTGAGTTGCAAGAATGGCTTTGATTCCTGCACAAAGCATTCCCTGGCCACAGAGACTCGTTGCGAACATGGTTTTGCTTATACTGTTTGTCTAGCACAGTTAGCATCTACACTGCGCTTCTCTCTTGCCTGTGCTGTGTGTTTCAACTCGGGGCTGTATCCTCACATGGGACTCTGTGTGTCCTGTACCTTAAATGAGTCCTTTTTTTAAATTAAAAAAAAAATTCATTAATGCATTAATTAATTTGAAAGGCAGAGTGACAAAGATTTTCCATCTACTGGTTCACTCCCCAAATGGCCACAACAGCCAGGACTGGGTCAGACTGAAGCCAAGGAGACAGGAAGTTCATTCTGGTCTCCCACATGGATGTCAGGGACCCAGGTACTTGGGCCATTCTTGCTGCTCTCCCAGGCTCACTAGCAGAAAGCTGGATTGCAAGCACGGTAGCTGGAACTTGAACTGGTACTTGACGTAGGATGCTAGCATTGTAAGTTGTAGGTTATCCAGCTATGCCTCAATGTCAGCCTTGATGTCAGGAGTCTTGAGTTACCAGATGCCCTCACAGAAAGAGGAGGACCTGGGGTCTGAATCTTGACTTTGCCACATACTGATGTTCCCGCTGTTGATCAAGTATGTTTTTCATTGTCTCTGAGCCTCCTCAATTTCTTTTTTGAAAGAAGTGTGGTATAAATTAAATTCCTGGCAGGCAGGTCCCTGAGTTTCAGTATTCTGTAAAATGAAGTTGATAGCACACTCACCTCATGGGATTGTGTGGATTAATCGATTTTGTCTCTGGGAAAACACTCTGTAGACCATTGTGTTACTTACCTATTGCTATGTAACAAATGAGCCTAACATGTTATGGTGTAATCACATAGCTATCTTCTCACGTTTTCAAGGAAAGCTTGGCTGAGCAATTTTGGCTCAGTGTCATGAATTTATAGTCAAGCTCTGACTGGGACTGCTGGATCTACTTCCAAGATGCCCCACTCATCTAGCTGTTGGCAGGAGGCCTCCGTTCCTTACCAAATGGACTCCCCTTTGGGAGGCTAGAGCATCCCGGTGACATGCCAGCTCTGTCCTCCAAGACAGAGACCAAAATGAAAGCAGCATGTCCTTTATGACCTAGTCTCAAAAGTTGTCTGTTCGGCCGGCGCCGCAGCTTAATAGTCTAATCCTCCGCCTGCGGCGCCAGCACACCAGGTTCTAGTCTGGTTGGGGCGCTGGATTCTGTCCCAGTTGCTCCTCTTCCAGGCCAGCTCTCTGCTGTGGCCCAGGAGTGCAGTGGAGGATGGCCCAAGCCCTTGGGCCCTGTACCCGCATGGGAGACCAGGGGAAGCAACTGGCTCCTGGTTTCGGATCAGCGCAGCACGCTGGCGGTAACAGCCACTGGGGGGTGAAGTAACGGTAAAGGAAGACCTTTCTCTCTCTCTCTCTCTCACTGTCCACTCTGCCTGTCAAAAAAAAAAAAAAAGTTGTCTGTTGTCACTTCTTTGTTAGAAGCAAGAATTAGGCTCTACCTCTCTCTCTCTTTTTTTTTTAGATTTATTTATTTATTTGAAAGGCAGAGTTACAGAGGGGCAGAGGCAGAGAAAGAGACAGAGAGAGAGAGGTCTTCCATCTACTGGTTCACTCCCCAAATGGCCACACACCAGCACCCGTATGGAATGTTGTTGCTGCGGGCGGCAGCTTTACCGGCTACGCCTCAGAGCTGGCCCTAGGCCTACCTCTTGAAGGGACAAAGAATCTGTGGATGTATTTTAAAGCCACCACAAACAGAAATGGTGATCAATGTTGCTAGCAACAGGTCTTTAGCATACTAGCCACAGGCACATTCTTTTCATTTGTCAGATTTAAGGAAGGATGCTTTCTCTTTAGATATATTCATTGATTCATAGCTAATGCGTAAGTAGTCTTTTTGATCCAGCTCCCTGCAGTCTCAGACCAGTCTTAGGCTTCTGCTGTATCCTGTCACAGTGCAATTTTGGGAAAGAGATCTATTTCCAGCCATGAGAATAAGATTCCCGGCTTTTAATCCTCCGCAGAAATGTGAAGTGAGGAAGAAGCATTGGTATGTTGGAAATGACAGTGAATTTGATTTTGAATGCATTTAGTTTGAGGTACTTAAAGATGACTAGTGGGGCTGCTCGGAAGACTGTTGACTTTGAAGGGAGCGAGGCATTTGAAGAGTGTCATCTGCGAAGGGGAACAGTTGAACAGAGAAGAATGAAGTTGCCAAGGGGAAAGGAACAAATGGTGACGGAAAAGGCTGGAGCCGTGGCCTTGGGAGAGGAAGAGGAAACAGTGAAGAAGACATGCGCCAGATGGATGGGAAGCAAGCAGGAGAAAATTCTAGAAAGGCGGTGTGTCCTTTCAAAGAGTTGTGAAAAGGCAAGGATGACAAGAGAGGTGGCTGATGGTCCTCCAGGCGTGTCTCAGAGCATGGGGGGCGCATGGATTCTGAGGGATTAAAGTATCCACAGAGCGCGGAGGGGAAGCAGACTGTCTCTCAGGATGTTTCAAGTGAAGAGAGAGAGTAGGGTAACCTGAGATAGCAGAGTTGAGTCATGTTCTTGGGTTGGGATGCCTCTAGGGAAAGAGGGAGAACCTGAGGATGGAGAAGACAGTGGTGCAGCAGTGAAGGGCACGTGTCGGCAGTCGTGGTGGCAAGAGGACGGGCAAGGAGGAGCTTGCCAGCGTCGGCCTGAGATCAGAGGTAGGAAGGCCTGTAAAGGGTTTGGAGGAGGGAGAATTTTAACAGGGAAAGGAGCTAGTTTTGGACTGAGAGCCCTCTTTCCCCAAGGCAGCTGTCTTTTTGAAATAAACTCCTTCCTCTTACCACCTCCCCACCCTCCCAAAAGAAAGGAAAAAGGAAAAGTGTGTAACAAGCCTCCTCAACAAGAGAGCAACAAAAGGCGAGACGAGGGGTGTTTGTGTACTTGTGGCGGATGCTATCTGCAAGATCCTGGGCATTTTATGAAGACAGGGGGCTGTGTTGGTGTTCTTTTGCCGGAGTCTGACGGAAGGTCCAAGGAGTTGAACGTTCTGGTTCCAGTTCTAAAGGTGAATGGTTCTTATGGGTAGGGACAGGACCACCCCATCCAAGTGTGCACCTTGCACCTGTGAAGGGTGCCCTTGGAATCAGGTGCACCTGGCTCAGAGGCTGACAAGTGTAAAGGGGCCACCCACTCATCTGGCTTTGTCCCAGCAGCTGCGTGCCTGACTGTGCTTTTCCTAATTGGTCCCAAGGTGCAAGGCAGGCCAGCTTAGCCCTTGTATACACAGGTGCAGGGACTAGTGGATGAAGAGAAGAGGGTAATTGAACGAGAGTGAAAGGGTCCTCGGTGTGGATCTGGAAGTGGTGAAGCAGGGCGGGGTTTGGTTATTAAGGTCATGCAGGTGAAGCCACTTGGAACAACCTGGTCCAAGGTGAGGTCTCGCTGGGGAGCTGCTGAAATGAGTGTAGATCAGGATCCTTGTCAGACTGTAGCAGCAGCTTTGTGCACTGAGTAGATACCCTGGCCGCAAGTGGCTGACATTGGGCGATGACGCAGGCCACAGTGGAACTTTCTACTACAAAACACGAGCTCCTGGAACATGACCACATGGGGAAAATGTCACTGTGTACACAGAGGTGGTCTGACTTGAAATCCAGGTTTCATCACAGGGTTTTATGTGCTCTGCTTGCTGAGAACCTACCGCATCTCCTTCGCCCAAAATGCTGAAGGAAGCTCATCAGCTTTCAGTTGTGGTTAAAGCCTGAAGAAAAGAAAAGAGAAAAGGCAGCATGGCCATCACTGTTATTGAAAGCATGAGTTCAGGGGTAGAGAGGACTGACCCTATTGAGATGATCTGGGGCCCTGTGCTGTGGCACAGCGGGTAAAGCCTCCTCCTGCGACGCCAGCATTGCACATGGGTCCCAAGGTCCCAGCTGTTCCACTTCTGATCCAGCTCCCTGATAATATACCTGGAAAGCAGCGGAGGATGGCCCAAGTTGCTTGGGCCCCTGCACCCATGTGGGAGACCCAGATGAAGCTCCTAGCTCCTGGCATTGGATCAGCCCAGCATCAGCTATTGCAACCTTTTTAGGAGAGAGCCAGCGGATGGAAGATCTCTCTCTCTCTCTGTAACTCTGCCTTTCAAATGAATAAATACATCTTTTATTGTTTTAAAGCTTCTAGCCACATGGCCAGAATGCAGAGGTTGGGATGAGGGAGGCCAGGCCCTGGGCTGGGTGGCTCCTATGACCTGCAGGTGAAGGGTGTGGGGAGGAGCAAGCCGGAGGCGCAGACTGAAGCTCTCCGTGGCCCAGGTTCCCGTGACCTTCGTGGACATTGCTGTTTACTTCTCTGAGGATGAGTGGAAGAACCTGGATGAATGGCAGAAGGAGCTTTACAACAACCTCGTCAAGGAGAACTACAAAACCCTGATGTCGCTGGGTAAGGACGCCTGCTCTCCTGTCGGCGAGTGGTGTCTGGGGAGGGCCGTGGAATGTGTACTAACCCGTGTTAATACTTCCTGGGCAGGGTGTGTCATATCTACACCTGGTGGAAACTCAAGAAGTGATTTGCTTATAAAGCTAGGGAGGTAGAATAACTTATAGTGAGATTAAAAATTAGAACCCCAGTAACAAGGCCTATCACTGTAGATGTCAACATTACAGTACTGCTATCTTGGACAGCAGCATAATAGCACCATTTGTACCTCACTTTCAGCGCATCTCAATAGTCTGGGCAAAGCCACAGTCTGATGTTGGCTTCCAGGGACCAGCTCTTTCTACACTAGAAATATGGGGTTCCTATAAGAGATGACCTAGCTACCTTACATGCATAACTTACCACGTAGAGGGGCATGTAGGGGGAGATGGGGAGTTGTGGTGGCAGAGAGCTCTCCCCTCCCCTCGATCTGGATTCATCAGTCAACCCCACTCAGCTCTTTGTTCCTTCCCAATTGTCTTCCAGACTCAGAGGGCTCAGTGCCCAAGCCAGACCCTCCGGCCCAGGTGGAGCCCAGGGAAGAACCTTGCGTGTGGGAGCAACGCCACCCTGAAGAGAGAGATGTCCCAATGGATCCGAACACAGGTGATGGCAGCTGAAGATGGCACAGGAGGCCAGGGAGGGCAGGCAAGGAGAGCAGGGCACCCACCCAGTGCGCTGGGGGTGCTACTGCCTCTTTCTTTCTTTTCTAAGGTTTATTTATATATTTGAAAGGTGGAGTTACAGAGGTAGAGGCAGAAGCAGAGAGAGAGAGAGAGGTCTTCCATCTGCTGGTTCACTCCCTAAAAGGCTGCAGCAGCCAGAGCTGTGCCTATCTGAAGCCAGGAGCTTCTTCCGGGTCTCCAGTGTGGATGCAGGGGCCCAAGCACTTGGGCCATCTTCCACTGCTTCCCCAGGCCACAGTAGAGAGCTGGATCGGAAGTGGAGCAGCCGGGAAGTAAACCAGCATCCGTATGGGATACTGGCACTACAGGTGGCAGCTTAACCTGTAACACCACAATGCCAGACCCCTAATGCTTGTTTCAAGAGGGATCATCTCTTGAGTTGCTCCTGGGGACCAGTTCTGCCATCGTTGAAACTTGATGTTCACTTAGAGGGCCAGAGACCACATCATGCATATTTGCCTTTTGTTCTATCAAATCTTTGTGGTTCTGCACTCACAGGTAGATTGAGTGGAAAGATGTGTGAGGAATGGCTTAGGAAATGTGACACCTTTCAGGCCTGTTGAGGACCCTAGGCTTGGCAGTGACTGAAGACCCCCCCCCCCCCCCCCGCCCACACACACACCCAGCTCAGGCTCAGGGAGTTGACAGAGGAGGTAAAGAGAGACTAATGGATGCGTGAGCTGCCTTGGCCCACTGTTTGGTTACAGTCCGTAGTGTCATCACCTTGTTCTTACACAGACACACCCTTACATGCAGACTCACCCTGCAGACCAAGTATGATGTTCTCACTTTCCCTGGGGTGGAAGGTACGAGGGTTCTAGTCCCACGTCTTGGGGTTCTGTGTAAAGATGTGTCATTGTCTTTCAGAAATAAGGATGTGATGCATGATCTGGCCAAGAATAGGGCTTGGTTATGTCTCTTGGCCCAGCCTAATTTCTTTTTTTTTTTTTTGAAGATTTATTTTTTATTTATTTGGAAGACAGAGAGAGAGAGAGAGAGAGATCAGTCTTCCATCTGTTGGTTCATTCCCCAAGTGGCCACAGTGGCAAGGGCTGGGCCAGGCTCAAGTCAGGATTCCAGTTTCTTCCAGGTCTCCCATGTGGGGCAGGGAACCGAGCACTTGGGCCATCTTCTGCTGCTTTCCTACATATACTAGCAGGGAACTGGATCAAACTGGAGCAACTGGGTCTTGAACCAGCGCCCATATCGGATACTGTCATCACAGGCAGCAGCTTAACCTGCTATGCCACAGTGCCGGCCCCCAGCCTAATTTGTTTTTATTTTTTAAAGATGTATTTTATTTATTTGAAAGAGTTACAGAGAGAGGTAGACAGAGAGAGAGAGAGGTCTTCCATCCACTGGTTCACTCCCCAGATGGCCGCAACGGCTGGAGCTGCACTGATCCGAAGCCAGGAGCCAGGAGCTTCTTCCAGGTCTCCCATGTGCGTGCAGGGCCCCAAGGACTTGGGCCATCTTCTACTGCTATCCCAGGCCATAGCACAGAGCTAGATGGGAAGTGGAGCAGCTGGGACTAGAACTGGCGCCCATATGGGATGCCGGTGCCTCAGGCCAGCACTTTAACCTGCTGTGCCATGGCACCTGCCCCCAGCTTAATTTCTTGCTAATTGTGTGTGTGTGTGTGTGTGTGTGTGTCTGGCCACAGCCAGGCCAACTTTTCCTGAGCGGGATGAAAAACTAGGATAAGTTGACTCTTCCATAGAGGTCACGCTCATAGCCTCTCCTGGATTAGGGTCCCCCATGGCTTCAACATGAACCCAAGACCCCAGCCCCCTCCCCTGGCAAGTGCTGACAGTGTGCCTCCTGAGCCCCGAACACTGGTGACTGCCATGCAGAGAAGGCATCACATGATGTGAGTCTCTGTCCCCAGGAGCAGAGCCCCTGGTGCCCGCCCAGGATACCTCCTCCCAGGTGAAGCGAGAGGAAGCCCTGTGTGTCCGGGGCCAGCGGGGCCTGGAGGACAGAGCCATCCCCACGGAATCCATCACTGGTGAGTGAGCTCCCACCCAGAAGGGAGGAGGAGGCTCAGCAGGGCCTGCAAGGCCCCAGGGGTGTCTGCTGTGTACACCAAGATAGAAGCTGAGCTAGAGATGAGAGCTAGTCCAGGACTGAGCTGAGTCGGGATTTCTCCAGGGTGCAGACGTGACACGTGGCATTGACGATCGTTCTGTCTCCTCTCTTCTTTGTATTAATCTGGTTTTAACCCTCCCGGCCTCCCTTTGAAACCACTATCATGGCAGCAGTACTGAGTGCTCCTCAGTAACAGGTGCTGTACGGGGCTCCGCGGGCTGGGGATGTGTTGGCCAGGAAGACCTGCTCCCTGGCTGGGAAGAGCTGTCACTGTTGGAAACCAGAGTTGTGTGCCGCTGCCTCTGTGCTGGCGGGGAGTTCCTCTTAGCTGGTCTTGCCAGCTGCCCTGCTGCAGAGGAGGTCTCTGTTGGAGCACATATGTGAGTCAGAGTTCTGCAGAGACACACGGCCTTACATGTGCACACACGCGTGCATGGTGGGGAGAGTAAGAAATGGTTCCTGCAGCCGTGGGAGCCGGCAGGTGGAAAACGTACAGGGCAGGCAGCAGGCTGGAGACCTAGGTGACAGCAGCCGGAGGCTGGCAGAGTCCCCCCTTCCCTGGGAGAGGTCAGGGCCTTCTGATTGGATGATGCCCGTCCATCCTGGAGGGTGGGCTGTTGTCGCTCCCCCACTCACGGAGGAACGACACCGGACCCTGGGCTGTTCTCTTCGCCCTGGCCCTTCCCGGGTTTGCTGCCGCTCCCCGACTCGCGGAGGAATGACGCCGTCCCGGGTTAGCTGCCGGCTCCCCCACCTCCGTGGAGGGGCGGCACCCCCGCCACTTTCCCCGCTTCCGCGGGGGAGCGGCACACCGCCGGCCGGCTCTCTCGGGGGCTGCTCAGATGTTCCTCTTAGATGTTCCTGGTGCATGCTGTCTCTCTCCTCCTTTATAGTCCTCTTCCACCAATCCCAACTCTGCTACCCACATGCCGAGCACGCTGCTCTCCTCCAATCAGGAGCAGGATCAGCTCCTGCAGCTTGTTTGTTGAATTGGTGAGGCAGCTGTGTGAAGTTGTTTACTCTCTCTCAGCGCCATATGGTGGGAGATCAGATGCATAGAATTAGTCTCAGCAGTTCCAGTAATTTAGTCTAGTCTCGGTTGCTCCCCACAGGCTGTGTTAGTCAAAGTCTGTTGATTTAGAAGTTATCTCAATTAAAAAAAAAAAAAAAAAAACCTTTATAGAAACACCTAGCATACTGTTTATCCAGGTAGCTGGGTGCTGTGGCCAAGCCAAGTCGATACATAAATTAACCATCACAAGATGCGTTAACATACTGCAGCTCTTTACTTATCCACAGGTTAGAGCTCCACAAACCTCATCCCCCCTTAGTCAAAGCCTCAAACTCATAGGTAAGTGACTAGGGTGTCTGGGTAGAGGGACGCCTGTTCACTTGTCCTCAGGCATGTCCCTTGAAAGCATCCAGTATTACTATCTTGACAAAGATCTTTAAGAGGGAAGAAGGCAATAAAGGGTAAAGTAGGTTCAGTAGACTGTAGAAAGAAGAGAACGTAGGATCTTCTCTTGCGTTTTAGCGAAGTCCCATTCAAATGACTGAGATAGAAGGCTTCCTGGCAGGTGTCATTTCCCCGGAAAATCTTTCATTCTGTAGTGGTCTTAGCACCAGAAGGGGAACCTCATTCTGGGAGATTTAAGTCCCTGAGCATGGAAAGACTCTGTCTGGAAGCCACCGTTATGTCACTGTAGCATCCCCTGAAGCTAACTGGAGCAAGCTGACTTCAACCTTTGGTTAATGAGACTAATTTAGTTACACCTGTGCCTGATATTTAGGGGAAAGAGATCATTGCATGACATCAGCAAGCTACTCAAAAACACAAACGTGCGGGCAGCTCCTTGCCCTCTAATGCCTTTGCTGCTCTTGTTCCCACAAGTAGACTCCCCGATTTCTGCCCAGGACCTGCTGTCCCGGATCAAACAGGAGGAGCACCAGTGTGTATGGGATCAGCAAGATCTGGCCGAGAGAGATATTCCCACGGACCCCAATTCAGGTGAGAAGGTGCCAGAAGGTGCGCAGAGGGCACCCAGCCGTTTTCAAAAAGGAACCATAATTTGTTGTCTCAGTGGGACTGATACTAACGTTACCCCAGCACTGATTTTGAGAAACACTCGAAAGAGCCAGAAAGCTTCTAAGAGCTGCACATCTGTCTAGGTCAGGAGGGAGTTCATGATCGCTGGAGTTTCTCTTGAGAAAACTAATTCGATGGCTCTCAACAAACTTTTGGGGAGAGTCCAGGCTTTCAGGGAAGTGTAAAAGGATAGGGGGGCGTCCCTTGCCTGGCCGGGTCTGCACATAGTGTTTGCAGAGCTGGGTGAGTGCAGTGTCATTCCCCTTGGTAGCTGGGGTACCAGTGTCCCATGCCACTGCCTGTCACAGGAAGACAAGGTGAGAACTGCAGTGAGTCTGGGACCACTTATCGCTTGTCACCTTCACACAGAGAGATTCAGGGGATCCAGGGAAGGTGGGCAATGTGTGTCCCCAGGCAGGGTGTCCCCAGGCAGGGCGTCCCCAGGCAGGGCGTCCCCAGGCAGGGCGTCCCCAGGCAGGGCGTCCCCAGGCAGGGTGTCCCCAGGCAGGGTGGGCAATGCATCCCCAGGCAGGGTGTCCCCAGGCAGGGTGGGCAGTGCGTCCCCAGGCAGGGTGGGCAATGCGTCCCCAGGCAGGGCGTCCCCAGGCAGGGCGTCCCCAGACAGGGTGTCCCCAGGCAGGGTGGGCAATGCGTCCCCAGGCAGGGCGTCCCCAGGCAGGGCGTCCCCAGGCAGGGTGGGCAGTGCGTCCCCAGGCAGGGTGGGCAATGCGTCCCCAGGCAGGGCGTCCCCAGGCAGGGTGTCCCCAGGCAGGGTGTCCCCAGGCAGGGTGGGCAATGCGTCCCCAGGCAGGGCGTCCCCAGGCAGGGCGTCCCCAGGCAGGGCGTCCCCAGGCAGGGTGTCCCCAGGCAGGGTGGGCAATGCATCCCCAGGCAGGGTGTCCCCAGTCAGGGTGGGCAGTGCGTCCCCAGGCAGGGTGGGCAATGCGTCCCCAGGCAGGGTGTCCCCAGGCAGGGTGTCCCCAGGCAGGGCGTCCCCAGGCAGGGTGGGCAATGCATCCCCAGGCAGGGTGTCCCCAGGCAGGGTGGGCAGTGCGTCCCCAGGCAGGGTGGGCAATGCGTCCCCAGGCAGGGTGTCCCCAGGCAGGGTGTCCCCAGGCAGGGCGTCCCCAGGCAGGGTGGGCAATGCATCCCCAGGCAGGGTGTCCCCAGGCAGGGTGTCCCCAGGCAGGGTGTCCTCAGGCAGGGTGTCCCCAGGCAGGGTGTCCCCAGGCAGGGTGTCCCCAGGCAGGGTGGGCAGTGTGTCCCCAGGCAGGGTGTCCCCAGGCAGGGTGGGCAATGTGTCCTCAGGCAGGTCGTCCCCAGGCAGGGTGTCCCCAGGCATCACTGCCGCTGCAGCTGTGGCCGAGTTCTCAGGCAGCCCTGTGCCGTGGCCATCAGAGCTCAACTTCTGGCCGGGCCCCATGGGTCCCCATGGGCTCAGCAGGCAGAGCCGGCAGACCTGTTGCACCCCCGATCCTGCGGCTGCCCACACTTTGTGTGGGGCCTTCTCCTCTCCGGCCACCTTGAAATGCAGTGAGCTGCTTATTAGGAGGGCTCTTCTGAGGCTCATCTGAGCTTAAATGCAACACAGCTGCCCAAACCGCCGCCTGGCCTGCCTGGCGCCTTGGCGTGCAGGGGTCTTCAGACCTTGATGGGACGCTGAGGAGAAACGAATGGGGTCTAACCCTGCCTCTTTCCATGACACCAGAATCTCTCATCTCAGCACATGACATTTTATCCTGGATCAAGCAGGAGGAGCAGCCGTACCCGTGGGGCCCCCGTGACTCTGTGGAAGGAGAGCTCGGCTTGGACTCCGGCCCCAGTGAGTAATGTGCCCGCCAGGACCCTTGGGCGCTTTGTCCTGGGTTGGACAGCTAAGACCTGGTACGGGGATGGCTGTTCGCCTCAGCCAGCCCTTATGCAGTGAGGTTCGCTCAGTGGTCACTTTTCAAAGGTCTGTTCCAAAGCACTTAACCCTTTGCTTTTTTTTTTTTTTTAGATTTATTTATTTGAGAAGCAGAGTTACAGAGAGAGGGAGAGACAGTGAGAGAGGTCTTCCATCTGCTGGTTCACTCCCCAGGTGGCTACAACGGCCAGAGCTGGGCCATTCAGGAACCAGGAGCTTCTTCCAGATCTCCCACGTGGGTGCAGGGGCCTCTGCACTTGGACCATCTTCCATTGCTTTCCCAGGCCATCAGCAGGGAGCTGGATCAGAAGTGGAGCAGCTGGGACTCAAACTGGCACCCATGTGGGATGCCAGTACCGCAGGCAGAGGCTTAATCTACTCTGTGCAGTGCTGGCTCTGTCCCTTTGCTATAGGAGAATTCCCTAGGGTTGTCAGAAGAAGGTCTCACAGACTGGGTGGCTCACACAGGGGAAATGTATTGCCTCAGCGTTCTCCAAGTGAAAAATGGAAAGTCAAGGAAGGGGTCGGGCCCCTGCTCGGAAACCTGTGTGGACCCCCGTTGCCTCTCCGGCTTGCTGGCCACCCTTGGCATCCCTTGGCGTTAGCTTTACTCCTCTAGCCCTCCGTCTTTATATGGTGATCTGTTCTCCCTGTGTCTCTGTGTGGTCACCTCTCTCTCTTCTTGTAAGGATACCAGTGTGTCAGGTCAGAGGCCCACCCTGTTCTAGAATGACCTCATCTTAACTAACTGTCTGCAATGACCCTATGTTCAAATAAGGTTACATTCTGAGATACTGGGGATTAGGGCTTTGACATCTTTTTTTTTGGGGGGGGGGGCAAAGTTCAGCCTATAACACCTGGGAATGAGAGTAGAACATAATAAAGAAAGCTGGGCCAGAGTGCCCAGGGCACAGTTGAAAGCAAGCGTGTGGCACAAATGCTAGAAAAAACCAGCCGAAGGACCCAGGGCCCTGGGCTGACATTCCAGAGTAACTGGTAAAGGCACAAAGGCTTGAATAGGGAGAGGGGATTTTTTTTCTCCCCCAAAAGGTATGGAATCAAATGTCTCACTAGACCTGAGTCTCTTGGGTGTTTTGAAAGTGCGCGTGATGACCTAGACCTGTGTCTGTGGATTGTTTCACTCTGCGCATCGGGCTAACATTCCTTGGCAGCCCTAGTACCATCACCTTGGTGCCTCTGTTGATCAGTGTTTTCTAGAGGGCGCGGCGCTCTCTGTGTCCAGCCTCCTGAAGCCTGGAGGAGCTTAGTAGCCAAGTAAGAGCCAAGGACGTGCTTACTTCTGAATCTGCAGAACTGCCCTGAACTCAGACGACCAGATCACACTCTTCCAGTGCAGTTCTGGAAGAGTAAGGGGGGACAGGAGGAGTTGATAGGGGACAGGAGAGGACCAGCATATGCGCTTGCTTAAAATAGAACTTAAAGGAGTCCTCTTTGCAACCTGTTGGCATGGTGGTGTGCAAGAGAAAGCCAGGAGACTGACCGTGAGTACAGGAGGTAATGGCAGCAGGCGACTCAACAATCCCTGGGCCTCCAGTTTTAGCTCTGGCCTTGAAGGCACAGGAACCAGCTCATCGGCTGCTGTGCCAGGAAATTCTCTCCCAGTCTGGTCTCAGTGCTACCTTGTGATTCTTCCAAGCCGACTAGGAGAGCATGGGCCTGGAGGAAGCTCTTCCTGGGACCTGTGCCATCGTGGAAACAGATCTGGGAAGGCACCTGGGGAACTTGCCAGGCTTTGCACAGGACCAAACCTACTGGAGTAGTTCTGCTACCCCAGTCTGGATAAGACGACTCGTGGCATGGTTTCCTCATGGTGTTTTATCTCTGGGAGGAAATGCCCGGCATTTGGGAGACATCTCCCACCTGCCCAGTCATGACAACCTCTTACTAGGGCCTCTGGTCTTCCTCCCAAGTGAGCCTGCCTCCTAGTGATCGTTGGAATTTGAAATCAGTATCTTGTATACTGTTTCTTTGAGGTTTAAAACCAACCTAGTGTTCTGGTTGCCAGGGACAATGGGATGGACTTTTGGTAAGACATAGAATTATTTAGAAGAAACTTCAGGAGAGAGGTTGGAGGGGAGAGGGTAGTGGACACAGAAAACAAATGCAGAAATGTGTGACACCCGTCCCTGCCAGCATCCTTCCCCAGCCCTGGGATGGCATGAGAGGAGAACTGGTCTTGGAGTCCTGTGTGACTCCAAGGCAGACTAAGTGACACTGCATTTTAGTAAAAGAGATCTCAGTGTGGGAATCTGCCCTCAGAAAGTTTGTGTAAGACAGGAAAAAAAAAAAATCCAGCTCACCCAAAGTTAATACACATGGGGGTCTGTTGAAACAAGAAGTATGGGTAAGACTGTGCAGTCCGGTGGCTACCCCATGCTTCCAGAGCAAATGGTAGGCCAGGAGCCTAGAGCCGGGTCTCCCCACCCAGATGGCAGCACCCACCACCCACAGAATGTGATTTGAAATCATTCTCTTTAAATTGCCACATTGTTCACTACCTTAGGTTAAAATGGTTGTAAGTGTTGTAGTTTCTACTTATCTAACACCTATTTGCTCACTGACTGTTATGTGCTATGCAGGAGTAGATGAACCTAGGGAACTGAAGTTGAGGAGAGAGCCTGGAGCTAGATTGGTTTGGGAAGTTTAAGCAGTGCCCTCCAGCACCACTCTCCTGGAATCGAGCCACAATTCAGATTGAAGACACCCTCATCCGGGAGATTGCTCTCAGTCCAGGCACAGCCACAGACAAGTCTGGGGGTCGCAGGCCACCTTCACTTCTGACCAGCTGGCTGTAAATTCACGGGTGCCCACTACCTCCTCAAGTTCAAGAATTTGCTGGAATGCCTCACATAACACCAGAAAGTGCTGTACTTACAATTACAGTTTGATGATAGCAGAAGGATTCAAATCAGGATCAGCCAAAAGGAGACTTGTAGGCCAGGACTAGGAGGCTCTTAACCACAAAGCCTCTGTTGTCCTCTCCCTGTGGAGTCAGGGTGTCACCCTTCCCTCGCGTTGTCAGTGTGTGACAACACTCAGCGCATCACCGACCGGAAAGCTCATTTGGGCTTCAGTGTCCTGAGTTCTTATTGAGGTTTCTTGACATGGATGCAGTTGATTGAATCGTTGACCCTGAAGTTCAACATGAGAAATCTCCAGCTCCCTATCCCCTCCCTGCAGGTTGGACTCAAGAGCCCCAACCCTTTATTGATGGGGCTGGTCTTTCTGACGTGCCCAGACCCGGCCATCCGGAGTCATCTCATCAGCTTAAACTGTCCAGGGGCCCACCATGAATTGCAGACACTCCTATCACTTAAGCAACTCCAAAGATTGAAAGGCTACTATGCCAGAGACAAGGGCCAATCAAATTGTTAACACATTGGTTAATACTGAGGGCACTATGAGCTCTGAGGACCATGCAGACAAAGAATGAACGAGACCACAGGTCTGAGTGTGGCCAAAAACCAGAAGAAGGTAGCCTCACCAAGACTTGGAGAGGAGACTCTGGTGGGAAGAGTGGAGAGTGTGCAGGACAAGGAAGAGGCTGTTGGTTTTGGCCAGTTGGAGGTAGTGACAGTTGTTTCAGTGGTGTGGTGGGGACAGATGCCAACTTAATAGTTGGAAAAAAGAACAGAGGTGAAGAAGGGTTCGGGCAAGTAAAGATAGCTCTTGCTTAAGATTGCTATGAAGGGGCTAGTGCTGTGGTGCAGTGGGTTAAAGCCCTGGCCTGAAGCGTCAGCATCCCATATGGGCACTGGTTCTAGTCCCGGCTGCTCCTCTTCCGATCCAGCTCTCTGATATGGCCTGGGAAAACAGTGAAAGATGGCCCAAGTCCTTGGGCCCCTGCACCCGCGTGGGAGACCCGGAAGAAGCTCCTGGCTCCTGGCTTTGGATCGACACAGCTCCGGCCGTTGTGGCCGTCTGGAGAGTGAACCAGTGGATGGAAGATCTCTCTCTCTCTCTCTGTAACTCTATCTTTCAAATAAATAAAATAAATATTTTTTTAAAAAAAGATTGCTATGAAAAAGCAGAGGAATGAGATGAGGTGGTAGCTGGGGCAGGGTCACGTGGGGTCTAGGCAGGTGTTCCTTTAAGCTGGGGGATGACTACACCACTGTAGCAGATAGGATGCTCTCATCTGCTTTGCAGTCCAGGTTCAACCTGCCTTAGGGAATAAAGAAATTTACTCTCTTAGGAAACTAGAAGTCCTAAGGTAGCTCAGGTTCAGGCTTAGTTGACTCAAGGTCTCAGCCGTGTTCTCAAGGACCTAGTTCTTTCCAATGTTTTACCTGGCCATCCTTGGTGTGGCTCCATCCTTAGGATAGCAGCATGAAGGCTACAGCAGGTCCAGACATCACAGACAGACCCAGTGGGAAGAGAGGTGTCCATCTTTTCTTGCATGCTCCAAGGAGTGAGGAAACCTTTCCAGAAGACTGTGTGCACACTTGGCCAGAAGTAGGTCACGGGCTCGTGGCCCAGTTACCGGTACCAACTGGACAGGAGAAGCCCCCGTGGCCATGCATGAGGTGGGGTGGGAGCTAGAGGAGAACCTGCGATGTTATAGTTCCAGAGTGGGAAATCGGACGCTGGGTTGTGTGTGATTGTGCAGTTCTCTGCATTAGTACTCAGTTGCTGCAGTGTAGCTGCAGGAGTGGGGTTCTCAGGGCAAGCAGAGCCCAGGAGAGAGAATAGAGGGTACGGGTGCGGCCAGCAAGCGCTAATGGTGCTGGTTCATTAAGCCAAGTTGAGTCAGGCAGAGGGGACAGAGGCTGGGAGTCGGGCCTGATGCTCTCGCTGAGTTGGAAGAATTGTCAGTCGGGCTTTGTCAGGATGGGTTCCTAGGAAGCCTCCAGGGAGGTGTCCATGCATGTGGTTTCTTTGCGTCTACTTCTCATGGGAATAACGCCCATGGCCTATGGAAGATTGACTGAGTAGCAGCCGTGGGTAGAGGGAGACCCCCAGCAGCCACAGCCAGCCCCACAGGATGCTCTGGGGCTGGGAGAGGCCTCCCAAAGCATCCTGAACAGAGGAGGAATATTTTGGCCTGTGCCCCTGGCCAGTGTTCTAGGAAGATGGTTCTCTGCCTGGTCAGTTTTGATGGGGACAAAAAGGCGAGGTGGGCCCAGTCTATTTAAGCTGTTGCTCAAGGACAGGCCTTGGTCAGGAAGATGAACGGTTGAGTGGAAGCGAGGACAGGGATCCTGAGAAGTGGCCTCCAGAGGCCGGCAGAGGTGTGGGGTGGGGGAGGGCACAGAGGGGAGAAAGGGCTGTCAAGAAGAGGTGGGCAGAAGCAAACATCCCCTTCTTCACAAGGACCACCTGTGTGTACACAGGCTGCCCCTATATGGGGGAAGGAGGAAGTGCGAAGTGGAGAGTGGGGGAGGCTGGCGTGTGGCGGTGCAGGATTCCTGAATGTCATCTGTGTGTGCCAGGCACCTGCGGCAGCACTCAGAACTCTGAGCCTCAGGCCTCCAGCATTCCCAGTGCTCAGAGCCTGAGCCTTGTCCCCCTGGGACTCCAGAGTAGTGGACAGCCGTGGGCTCATGGGCCAGAGGCTCCGGGTGCAAGGAGTCTGCAATCAAGCCGGTTCTGTCTGGGAAATTCTGACTTCCAGGTAGCTGGAGCTCCCCCCATGCTCGTCTGCACTCCGAGGGGTGCCCTGTCATCCCTTGTGCTGTCAGCTGCTTGACAGCCTCTGCTGCGCCCCTGTAGGCTTAGGGCAGGTCAGAGAGCCAGGCAGCTGGCCAGGATCAGGTTTTTTTTTTTTTTTTAAGATTTATTTTTTAATTTATTTGAAAGAGTTACAGACAGTGAGAGGGAAAGACAGAGAGAAAGGTCTTCCATCCGCTGGTTCACTCCCCAAATGGCCGTAATGGGCGGAGCTAGGCCCATCCGAAGCCTGGAGCCAGGAGCTTCTTCCAGGTCTCCCACGTGGGTGCAAGGGCCCAAGGATTTGAGCCATCTTCCACTGCTTTCCCAGGCCACAGCAGGGAGCTGGATTGGAAGAGGGGCAGCCCAGACTCGAACCAGCGCCCAGATGGGATGCAGGCTCTGCAGGCGGAGGCTTTAGCCCACTATGCCACAGCGCCGGCCCTCTGGGCAGTATCATCTTGTTAAGTCTCCTTGGTTTTAGAGACACTGAGGCCCAGCTAGCATGTGACCTGGGCCCCCACCCAGGGAGGTTGGAGTCCTAGGTGAGAGCGCTGTCAACATGTCACTTCATGTCTCCGCCCTACAGGTGACAGCCTGCTGCTAGTGAAGAACCCGCCCCCGGCCCCGCCCCCGGCCCCGCCGCAGCCGCAGCCCCATCAGCAGAGCCTGCCCTCGCTCCCTGTGGCCGAGAACCCGGGTGGCCCCCCAAGCCGCGGGTTGCTGGAGGATGACTTCCCCGTGCTCCCAGGGGAGCGTGGCGGGGGCGAGGCGCAGCCCGGCGGGGAGGGTGGTGCAGGCGGCGGTGGCGGTGGCGGCGGCACGAGCGCAGGCGCAGGTGCAGGCGCAGGGGGCAGCTGCGGCAGCTGCTGCCCTGGCGGCCTGCGGCGGAGCCTCCTTCTGCATGGCGCGCGCAGCAAGCCCTACTCGTGCCCGGAGTGCGGCAAGAGCTTCGGCGTGCGCAAGAGCCTCATCATCCACCACCGCAGCCACACCAAGGAGCGGCCGTACGAGTGCGCCGAGTGCGAGAAAAGCTTCAACTGCCACTCGGGCCTCATCCGCCACCAGATGACGCACCGCGGCGAGCGGCCCTACAAGTGCTCCGAGTGCGAGAAGACCTACAGCCGCAAGGAGCACCTGCAGAACCACCAGCGGCTGCACACGGGCGAGCGGCCCTTCCAGTGCGCGCTGTGCGGCAAGAGCTTCATCCGCAAGCAGAACCTGCTCAAGCACCAGCGCATCCACACGGGCGAGCGGCCCTACACGTGCGGCGAGTGCGGCAAGAGCTTCCGCTACAAGGAGTCGCTCAAGGACCACCTGCGCGTGCACAGCGGCGGCCCGGGCCTCGGCGCACCGCGGCCCCAGCAGGCGCCTCCCGAGCGAGACTAGGACTGGGCTGGGGGGAGGGGGGCGCACTGGAGCCAGGGGAAGAGCGGCCCGCGGGCAGCCTGCGGCCCGACCGTCCCGTCCCGTGGTTCTCGGCGCACCTTCCCGCCCTCCACCCTCCACCTGCCAGAAATCGGACACGAGAATTGCACTCCAGACAGGGTCCCTCGAGGATTGGGCGGGGGCACCCCAGTTCTGTCCGGCCTGAGTGGAGAGCCCAGCTCAGCTCCGAGGGTGGACCGAGCTGCCGGGGAAGGGGCTGGAAGAACAGCACGGGCGCAGGAGTCCCTGGCACCCGCCCCGACCACCCAGTGTGCCCAGTGGCCGCTGGGGCCGCACGTCGTGGTCAGGGAAGTGGCCAGGAGCCTCGGCACCCCCGTGAGATAAGGAAATGAGCCCCCAGGCAGGCGCCCTGAGAAAGGAGGCGAAGGCGGGGCGTGAGCTGAGGGATGGGCTAAGGGCACCACCGTAATGGTGACAACACTGCCTCGCGTTGGAGTAGCGCTTTATACTTTCTAAAAAGCGTTTTCTATCCGTTATCTGTTTTCGCCCTTAGCCTATGCCTCAGAGATAGGTGGGGCAGGATTTTCCTGGCCCGATACCTGAGGGAAGTGACACAGGTGAGATGGTTTACCCACGACCGCAAGAGCCGCGCGTGGGCTGGCGGCGCCAGAGCTGCACACTGCCGCGCAGCGTCCCCGCCGCACACACTGCCTACCTCCGCGCCGGGGAGACCGCCCCGGCCTGGCCTTCCTGGTCCCCGCGCTCTCCCTGTCCTTCCCTTCATGCCCCCATTGGAAGCTACGGGGGGCCAACTCATGGGGTGACTGGCAAGAGGGAACACATTGGCTACGAAATGCCCTGGGTTGTGTCTGGCCCGTTCTTCCCACGGGAGGCTCCTGGGTGGTACCCCTTCACCCCAGCCAGTCCTCTGCACCCCGCACCCGTCAGTCGGGTGCAGCGCATCTTCTCACTGCACACTTGGTGGCCTGGCCCTCCAGAGGCAGCTGGTGCCCTGGGTCAGACCTCACTGACGATTGCTTCACCTCCCCAGGGCAGAGGGCTGGGGGGATTCTTGGGCTGCAAGAGCAGCCGTCAAGGAAGTGAGTCTTTCCCCAGGAGGGCCTGGCAAGTGGGTGCTAGAGTCTGAGCCTCAGTCTCTCCTGCCCTGGGCCTCCCAATTGGTGCTATCTGTTAATTGACCGTGCTCATGGACATGGACACAGACCCTACTATGCACCAACCCTGCCGGCGCCTTAGGAAGCGCCAGAGGACTCGCTTTCACGTTGGTGCGTCGCTCCCTGGCTCCGGGCGCCACGCCCACAGGGGCCGCATTCTCCACTTCAGCGTCTTGCATGGCCAGGCACCCGGGTGGGGTGGCATGCCCCAGGACCCTTGTTCGTGTCCAAAACGACTTCCTGCCCCGCCCCCCGTGGATCCCGCTTCCCTCCGAGCCAGGGAGCACGGTGGGCAGCCTGCACTCGGCACCACCTCTTCTGTGAGCGCTCTGCTTCTGCCCTGCCCCTCATCTGCGCTGCTCTGCTTTCTCAGACCCCTTTTTGCCGTGCAAAGGGAATTCTTGAAATTAAATAAAAGGTATCCAGATTGCAGACTGCATGTTCCGAGAGCTGGAGGGCTCTCCAGCGTGGCTTCCTACAGTAAAGCCTCCGTGAACTGGAATCCAATTAACTGGGCTTTTTTTTTTTTCTCCCTATTCTGCAAAGTTTAAGAAAACAAGTTGGGATGGGAAATCAAACACTAGTAAGATTCGGTGGTGTCTTAGAAGCAGGGGCCCTCTGGTTCAGGAGTGGTCAGGAGGGAGCTGAGGGCATATGCAGAAAATCTTTTTATAATCCAAATCATGGAAAAGATGAAAAAAAATTTTTTTTTCACCCTCGGGAGTATAAGGAAGAGGGAGAAATCACTACTGAGACATAGATTTGAAATATTTGAGCAGATCGTCTAAGTCTATTCCCTTCGTTTTACCCTCAGGCAGCTGATTTCCCAAAGAGGTTTAGTGCCTGAGTAGTGGGAGAGCCAGGGTTGCGTCCAGTTTCCTGCCTTCTGGTCTGGTGGGTTCTGCTGCAGCAGGTGCCCCTGGCCTACAGCCTGAGTCTCCCTGGCTCTCAGCACGGGCTCCGCCTGTAGTGAGCTCTGCTCCCAGAGCATGCTGGCCTCTGCAGGGTTCCGCACTGCAGCAGGGACCTGTGGTGGAAGCTGGAGACAGACCCAAGCCTCGCAGTTTGCTTGCCAATGGGGTTGATGGGAGGAGTGGGGCTCACACTCTAAGCGTTAGGTGAAGCTTCACAGAGCAATCGGCTTGAGGAGTGATTTGGATGGGGCGGGGGGAGTGGGGTGGGAAGACAGGACCCGGGATTGTAAGGCAGGGGACGCGTGGCGGAGGTAGGGACTGTGAAGCGTTGGATGGTGAGGCTTAGGCAGGCCATGAGGAGACCCACTGCGCTGTACCCGCCGTGGAACGCCTTAGAAGCTGAGAACACAGCTCTAGGAGCAGGTCAGGGAGGATGAGGTGCTGAGAAGGCAGATTTAAGCCACACACCACTGGAAAACCCACAGGTAAATAGTTTCCGGCCAAGGATCTGAGACAGCATAACTGGCTGTCTCAGATCTGGTCTCCGGGTACTGAGTATTGGAGAGCAAGGGGGAAAGGTAGGACGCTTTCTACCAGGCCCAGCAGTTAAGATGTGCTTGGTCCCTGGGGCTGGCATCGTGGCATAGCAGGCCAGGCCGCCACTTGCAATGGAGTTCCAGTTGGAATCCTGGCTCCTCTGCTTCAGGTCCAGCTCCCTGCTACTGTGCCTGGGAAGGCAGTGAATGGTGGCGCCAGTGCTTGGTTCCCACCCTTGTGGGAGACCCGGATGGAGTTCCTGGCTCCTGACTTTGGCCTAGTCCTAGCTGCTGCCAGCATTTGATGAGTGAACCAGCAGATGGAAGATCTTTCTCTCTGTGTCCCTGTCTCTCTGTCACACAGACTTTCAGATAAACACATAGATTTTAAGAAAAGAGGTCTGCTTGGGATGCCTGTGTCCCATATCAGAGTGCCTGGGTTCTAGCCTCAGCTCAACTTCTGATTCCAGCTTCCTGTTAATGCACACTTTAGGAGGCAGCAGCTGGTGGCCCAAGAGCTTGGATCCATGCTATCCACGTGAGAGATCTGGACTGAGTTTCAGGCTTCTGGATTTGGCCTGGCCCAGCCCTGGGTATTGCAGGCATTTAGGGAGTGAGCCAGCAGATGAAAGCTACCCACCTCTCTCTCTCTCTCTCTGATTTTCAAGTAAGTTTTTAAAATGGAGTTAAAATATATTTATTAACAACAAAGAAACTCTTGATAAACAAAACACATTTCTTTCCCTCAGAGGACTTCCTGTCGCTCCCCCATTCGCGGAGGAACGACACTAGACCCTGCGCTGTTCTTTTGTCTGCTCGGCCCTCCCCGGGTTTGCTGCTGGTCCTTCCCGGGTTGGCTGCCGACCCCTCCACCTCCGTGGAGGGGGCGGCTCCCTCTGCCACTTTCCCCACTTCCGTGGGGGAGCGGCACACCGCCGGCCGGCTCTCTCGGGGGCTGCACAGGTGTTCCTTCAGATAGATGTTCCTCTTAGATGTTCCCCGTGCATGTTGTCTCTCTCCTCCTTTATAGTCCTCTTCCACCAATCCCAACTCTGCTACCCACACGCCGAGCACGCTGCTCTCCTCCAATCAGGAGCAGGATCAGCTCCTGCAGCTTATCAGTCAAGTTGGCGAGAGGCAGCTGCATAGAAGTTGTTTGCTCCCTTTCAGCGCCATATTGTGGGAGAGCAGATGCATAGAATAAGTCTTAATTCCAGTAACTTAGTCTAGTCTCAGTTGCTCCCCACACTTCCGCACCAGTTTTTCATGAATTAATTAAACTTTGAATAGATTTTACATCAATACGATCAAAATTCAACATGTGTAAAAGGGTATGCAATAAAAAGAACCTCCTTGTCACCCAGTCACCCTGGACCCTTATGTAGCAGCATCCAAGTTGTCCTTCCTTCTATAAATACAGCCAAATATATGTTCACATTATCTCATTTTTCTGCACGGATGGCTCAGTGTTCTGCAAGGTATCTTCAAAAATTCATGAAGAATGTACATTATGAAAAATATGTATCATTTCAGGAGTATGTTGCGCCACAAAGCCCCTTATATTTTAATTCCATTTTCCCATGAACTTTTTGAAGTAGTCTTGTATACTTTGGTCTGAATTTTGCTTTCTTTATTTTTTTTAAGATTTTATTTATTTACTTGAGAGGTAGAGTTACAAACAGTGAGAGGGAGAGACAGAGAGAAAAGTATTCCATTGGTTCACTCCCCAGATAGCTGCAATGGCCGGAGCTGCACTGATCCAAAGCCAGGAGCCAAGTGCTTCCTCCTGGTCTCCCACACAGGTGCAGAGGCCCTAGGACTTGGGCCATCTTCTGCTGCTTTCCCAGGCCACAGCAGAGAGCTGGATGGGAAGAGGGGCAACTGCTTTCTTTTTTAAGGCATCTTGGAGACCATTCTGAACAGGAAGTCAGACACTTCCTCATTCCTTTTCCAGCTGCAGGCTGTTTGTTGAATGGACGGGCTTTATTTCACCATCTCTCTTTTGGTCGCCTTGTCTTTTTTTAAGAAAATATTTATATATTGATTTATTTGTTTGAAAGGCAGGGAGATATTTCACCTAATAGTTCTTCCCCAAATGCCCACGATGGCTGGGGCTGGGCGAGGCCGAGGCCTGGAGCCTAGAACTCCATCCCAGTCTCCTACTTGGGTGGCGGAGACCCAGTACTTGGGCCATCATCCACGATGCAAACCGGGCACCCCAATATGAGATGCAGGTGTCCCGAGCAGCAGCTTAACTCACTAAACCACAATGCTTGCCCCCAGTCGCCATGTCCCTAGCAGCTTCTTCTCTTTCACTGGGCCGGTGATGACAACACAGGCACTTAGCCGTTCAGTGGAAGTTGTGGCTGGTCTGCTGCCCCTTGCCCCAGCTTGCTGCCGGTGCTCAGCCAGACCTGTCTCGTGACCGTTTCCAGATCACACCATGGTCATACCCACATTTGCTCCCAAGGGATCCCGGGCTGTGGAATCCAAGTTGTATCCAAGTTGTGGTCTCTCAAGCCCCAGCTCTGGTTCCACCTTTTCCCTAAAGATTCCCTAAGCACTCTGGGACTCCCAGTTTCGACCTGGCCCAGCCTCGGCTGTTGTGGACATCTGGGAAGTAAATCAGTGAATGGAAGGTCTCTCTCTCTGTCTCATTTACTCTAACTTTAAAATAAATAGAATTAAAAAAAAAAAGTATCTAAGGGCCGGCACTGTACCATAGCAGATAAAGCTGCTGCCTGCAGTGCCAGCACCCCACATGGGCGCCGGTTCAAGACCCAGCTGCTCCACTTCTGATCCAGCCCTCTACTATGGCCTGGGAAAGCAGTAGAGGATGGCCCAAGTCTTTGGGCCCTTGAACCCACGTGGGAGACCCGGAAGAAGCTCCTGGCTCCTGGCTTTGGGTCAGCACAGCTCCGGCTGTTGCGGCCAATGTGAGAGTGAACCAATGGATGGAAGACACCTCTCTCTCTCTCTCTCTCTTTCTCTCTGCCTCTCCTCTCTCTGTGTAACTGACTTTTAAATAAATAAATAAATAAATCGTTAAAAAAATTGAGAGTGGGGATGGATGATGTCCGGGCTCCTTCTCACCTCTGCAGTTATGGTCTAGAGATGTGGAGGTGATAGCAAGCACATACTGAGGCTAATTTCCTCCCTCCCTCCCTCCCTTCCCAGGCAGAGTGGACAGTGAGAGAGAGACAGAGGGAAAGGTCTTCCTTTGCCATTGGTTCACCCTCCAATTGCCGCTGTCGCCGGCGCACCGCGCTGATCTGAATCCAGGAGCCAGGTACTTCTCCTGGTCTCCCATGGGGTGCAGGGCCGAAGCACTTGGGCCATCCTCCACTGCACTCCCGGGCCACAGCAGAGAGCTAGTCTGGAAGAGGGGCAACCGGGACAGAATCCAGCGCCCCAACCGGGACTAGAACCTGGTGTGCCGGCGCCGCAAGGCGGAGGATTAGCCTAGTGAGCCGTGGCGCCGGCCGAGGCTGTCTAATTTCTTGATTCCTCCGATTCCACTGCAACCCATGGGACTAACTGTGAACCAGAGATAAAGGCGGTTTTTTAAAAGGTCTATGTCAAGATTCGTGTTAGTGGAAAAAGACAAATCAATGGCTTCTGTGAGCCCCACAGAGTGACATTGGTCTTGGTGAATTCATGGTAGTACAAGACTTGGACCTTGCAAATGCAAGAGAGAAACAAGAGATTACCAGCCACTGAGTGCTTGTCTTACCCCAGGCACTCAGCTACATAAACAATTTATGCCAATTAGTTCCTTCAGTCCCATTAACACCCCCAGGGTGCGGTGTTCCCATTCTCAGCTGGAGGACAAAGACACTGAGGCAGAGCAATCCGGAGCCACACGCTTGGTGAGGGACGGAGCTGGCACTCAAAGAGAGTAATGAACATGAGCACTCCCGGCGCGCGCAGGTACTGTTCTAAGTACTTGACTTGAAATGGTTCATCGTGTCTGCACATCTCCGTGAGCTAAGTATGATTATTATTTCCTAAGGAGACAGAAGTAGGAGAAGCTCAAGACATGCCCCCGGCCCATACCTAGTTAAGTGGAAGTCCAGGCTAGCGGGTTTGTCCTAAATTCACAACTTGCCTTCGAGTTTGAGGGACTGAGTCCTTTTTCCATTTTGTGCCACGATGCTCTCCGCCCTCCGGCCGCACGGGGGCGCAATGCAAACCCAGCGCGGTGAGCACAGGCGGCGGAAGCCGGTCTTGGGCCGGGCAGGGCCCGGCTCCCAGAATGCACCTTGTGTCAACACGGCGGCTGAGGCGACTTCCAGGAGCGTCTGGGCCGTATCGCTGACTGGAACGCAGCCTGAGGGCTATCAGGCGGGGCTCGGGGCATTGAGAGGCGACTGGAGCCATGGCGGAGTCGGCACCTGCTCGGGTAAGAGGCATCGTTTCGCGGATCCGCAGGCGCGTTCGGGATGGCGGAATCCTTGCCCGGGGTGGGGCTTCGCGGGCGGGACTCGGACGCGGACTGGGTGGCGAGGGGCTTCCAGCTGCCGAGAGTAAGCGCGGACCCTCGTCCCCGCCACCCTCAGGCTCTGCCCTGTTCCTCCCGGGCTCCTTTTGTGCGGGGTCCGAGCCTCGACGCCGCGCGCCCTCGCCCAGGACCTTCGCCGAGGCTGTTCCGCGTTACCGGGCTGTGACTGCCCACACATTGTCCCTCGCTGCCAGGAGAGAGCGCGTTTCCAGGAGGGCGCGGTGGCGCGGGGTGTAAACTCCGGGTCGATTTTAGGCACTCGTGTTCCCCTCTCTGGCCCTCTGTGTCCCTGACGGTGACTAGAGAGAGCTGGGCCGGGGATGCCTGAGGTTCCTTCCAGCCCCGGCATCTCAGTCTTCCAGAAGAGTGGTTGATAATGGACGAGGGTCGCGTATGGAGAGGGCAGGTGGCGTTGAATCGTTCTGATGCAGAAACGCTTTCAGATGCATGTGAGGGCTTTGCGGAGACGCTGGGCTGCCGAGATGGTGGGCACTTTACCATGAGGAAGGTGCGCGGTGTTTGGTTCTTGCAGGAAGTGGATAAGTGAGGGATTTGGGGGAAAAAGGGAAAAAAAAAGTGAGAGATTGAAAAACCTAAAGAATACTGTGTTTGGTTTCAAGGAATTTACCAGTTAAATTGGGAAGACAAGGCACAGGGGTTGGCAATATTTACCTCATCTGACTCCTTTAAAGTCAAAGAGTTGGCTTTTCCTTAAGACCAAATTAATGCCAGGGTGTGGCAGGAGGAACCTTCTAGAATGATCTTTTCACGGCCATCTACAGTCAGCTGACCTTGTTAAGAGGAAGCATTAAAGCCCCACCAATGGGGCCGGTGCTGTGGCTTAGCGATTGAGCCACCACCTATATGGCATCCTGTATGGGCACCGGCTCCATTCCTCAGGGAAGAAGCTGCTGGCTTCGACCTGGCCCATCTCCAGCCGTTGCGCCATTTGGGGAGTGAACTAATGGATGGAAGATCTCTCTCTCTCTCTCTCTCTAACTTTGCCCTTCAAATAAAATAAAAAAATCTTTAAAAAATCCACCAAAATAAAAAATTGCACTTTAAGTAACTTATGGGTTTGTCACTGTAGAATTTAATTAAGTCTTTAAGTATATATGTATTTTAAAGACATTTATTTATATGAAAAGCAGAGATACAAAGAGGCAGAGACAGAGAGGGAGGGAGGGAGGGAGGGAGAGAGGTCTTCTATCTGCTGGTTCACACCCTAAATGGCCGCAACAGCTGGAGCTGGGCCAATTGGAAGCCAGGAGCTTCTTCCAGGTCTCCCACACGGGTGCTGGGGCCCAAGGACTTGGGTCGTCTTCCACTGCTTTCCCAGGCCATAGTGGAGAGCTGGATTGGAAGTGGAGCAGCCGGGACTTGAACTGGCTGGTACCCATATAGGATGTCGGCACTGCAGGTGGCAGCCTTACCTGTTATGCCACAGTGAGGGCCCCTCTTAAGTATATATCTTCGTTTGTTTGTTTTTAAAGAAAATATTTTAGAGGCGGAGAGAGAGATTGTGAGACCATCTGCTGGCTCATTCCCCAGCATGTCTGCAGTGGTCAGGACCGGGCCAGGCTGAAGCTGGGAGCCTGGAACTCAGTCCAGATCAGGCACAAGGGTGGCAGGGACCCAACCACTTGAGTCACCACCTGCTACCTTCCGGGGAGCTGGAGTCGGGAGCCAGAGCAGTAAATGGACCCAGGCTCTCTGATATGGGATGTGGGCCTCTTTTGTGCAAGGCCAAATGCCTGCCTCTCTTTAAAAATATTTCTATTGTCAGGCATTATTTCTTCAGATAAGGATTCAGGTACCTCTCGTTTAACTGTATGACCAAGTAGGTGCCCTGATGAGACAATTGAAAATGCTAAGGAAAAAACCCACATAAATGTATTTTAGATGTATGTTTTAAAGAATACTTAGAGCCCAAAAGCTAAGTGAAAGAGGGAACTTATGAAGTGAGCATAGGGACTGGCGTTGTGCCTTAGCGGGTAAAGCTACCACCTGTGATGCTGGCATCCTATATGGGCTCCGGGTCGAGTCCTGACTGCTCCACTTCTGATCCAGCTCCCTGCTGATGTGTCAGGGAGAGCAGTGGAAGATGGCCCCAGTGTTTGGGCCCTTGCCACCCACATGGGAGGCCTGGAAGAGGTTCCTCGCTCCTGGTTTCAGATTGGCCCGGGTCTGGCCATTACACCCATTTGAGGGAGTGAACCAGTGGATGGAAGACCTTTCTCTGTAACTCTGCCTTTAAAAAAAAACAAAACAAAACAAAACAAAACAAAAAAAAACAAAAAAAACCCAAACAAACAAAAAAAACCAGCAGATTTCTGAAGCCTGAAGCCAACATTGAGAACATTGGCTGAACATTTATTCATCTTTGGTGTTTATGACGTCATGCATCCTAGAAAATAGAAGACAAAATAGAGCATAGGGTAGAGAGTCCAAGAAGAAGTCCCCTGCCCCAGTCCCGTAAAGCTGAGACTTCAAAGGGCAGCATTCTGTGTGAGGGTGAACTGAAAGTAAGCTCTTACCCCAGGTGATTGTAAATAAAATTGTATTAAAATTTGATACTGAGAGATGGGTATGAGGTGCCCATTGAGAAATTATGGTGAGCCTCTTGTGGGTTTGTTGCCTGAATTCACACTTCTTAAATAGACCAAGAAACCTCAAGCCAAGGGTTTAAAGTAGAGCCATTCACTAATAAACATAAAAAACACAAAGAATTGTCGTGTAACTCAGACTTCAACTACTACAGATAAAGTTTCAAAAAGTATGAGTTCACAATAAAAAAATTTAACAACCAAGCAAGAAAAATCATCAGGAAAAGCCAGTAAAAATAATGGACAATGAAATTAGACCCCCAGAGATTTCAGATATTGGAATTATCACGCATAGAATATTAACTAAGTATGTTTTTTTTTTTTTTAAGATTTATTTATTTATTTGAAAGGCAGAGTTACAGAAAGGCAAAAAGAGAGGGAGAGAGGTCTTCTGTCCGCTGGTTCATTCCCCAGATGGTCACAATGACCAGAGCTGCGCCAATCCAAAGCCAGGAGCCAGGAGCTTCTTCTAGTTCTCCCACGTAGGTGCAGAGGTCCACTGCTTTCTCAGGCCATAGCAGAGAACTGAATCAGAAGTGGAGCAGCCAGGACTCAAATCATCACCGATGTGGGATGCTGCACTGCAGGTCTGCATCTGCATTGCAGGCGGCTTTACCCATTGTGCCATAGCACCAGCCCCTGAAATAACTATGGTTAGTATATTTAAAGATAAATGAAAGAATGAAAAGTATAATAAAGGCCAAGAGACTGTAGTAATTAAAAAACATTATTTCATTGTTGTAAGATGAAAGAAGCAAAAAAATAATTAAAATTAAAAATGTAAGAAAAAATTTAAAAGACAGGGAACCTTAATCAACACTTTAGATATATTGTGATAAATAGTGAACTGGTTGGTAGAGCTAAAGAAATTACCCAGAAAGCAGCCCGGAATAAAAGAGAGAGATGGAAAACATGAGAAGTAAGAGATATGGAAAATGGAGTGAGAAAGTCTGATGTTCGTTTAATTGGTATTCCAGAAGGAAAACACGTACTCTCTGTATTGGAAGCTATCTATATTTTAAAATTTGTATTTATTTATTTATTTGTAAAGGGGAGAGAGAGAGAGAGAGCACTTCCATCCCCTTATTTACTTCTCAAATGACCTCAATGGCCACAGCTGGGCCAGGCCAAAGCCAGGAGCCAGTAACTCCATCAGGGTCTCCCATGTGGGTGGCAGGGACCCACGTACTTGAGCCATCATCTGCTGTCAACATAATAGAAGATTTTAACACAACCTTAGTATTTTGTCAATTAGTAAGGGGATAGCATATCCAGTAGAGCTTGCTTGCTTTCTTTTTTTTTTTTCCCAACAGAGCTTTCTGAGGTGATGGAAATATTCTCTTCTGACTAGTACTATGTTGCTGTTGGACACTTGAAATATAGTTAGTATGACCAAGGAACTGAATTTTTAAATTTTATTTAATTCATTTAAATGTAAACAACCATGTGTGACTAGTGGCCATTATGTTGGAAACACAGGTACAGAAGAGATAATTAATTTTTATCCATGTATCTATCAATATGTAATGTCAGTATATAAATATACAGTGAAGACAAAAGAAAGAAACAAAAAAACCTGTTGGGAACGATGGTATGTTCATTCACCTATCTGTTGATTGATGCTGGCTATAGACCGGGACCTTAGGTGGAGTTCCTGAAGGGAATACCTCCATGTAGCCCCTCCATGTGCATGGGGGTTCCTCAAGTGATTCCAGTACCAGCCTGCCTGTGATTTGCCCCATTGGACACAAAGTAGAACAGAGACAGATTGTCCCTACCAGACCCTCTTTTTACTCAGATTCGCGAGCAAAATAAATATTGTTGTCTTAAAGCCACTATATTTTGTGATTAGTTGTTAAATAGCAGAGGATGGTTAGAAGAGTTACCTAGGGAATGTGTAAAATATCAAAAGATGAGGTGGGCATTTGGCCTAGCCGTTAGGATGCTGGTTGGGTTTGAGTTTTGGCTCTGCTCCCAATTCTAACTTCCAGCTAATGTGCAGTTTGGGAGGCAGCAGGTGATGGCTCAGGTAGCTGGCTCACTTCCGTCCGTGTGGAAGGACTGGTACAGGGTTCTCAGCTCCTGGCTTTAGCTGGTCAGATCATTGTGGACACTTTGGGAGTGAAGCAACTGATGTGAACTCTGTTTCTTTCTGCCTCTCAAATAAATAAACATTTTTAAAAATGAAAGATACTGAAAATACTTTTTAAATGAAGTGGCATGTTATGTGTATGGATTGAAACATTTTATCCTAGAGATGTCATTTCCCTGATTTATCTGTCAGTTTGATGCAAT